GGGGTATGAAGAAGTCAGGGATCTTGTCGGGTGTGAGCACATTGCTGTACAGGGGTCCCTTGGATCCCCTGTCCCCTGCCTCACTCCCAGGGCTGGCGTTTTCTCCGGACCCCCGGAGACGCTCCAGGAACCACACGTTGGTTTTCTTCATGGGGGCAGGCAGAGGGGAGGCCAGGAAGAGCTCTGCAGAGTCTGAGAGGACAAGCGGGGTCAGGAGCTGCATCCCAGGCCCTGGGAGAAGGGAACAGGGGCTCCCGACGCCTGTGTAGGGGAGCCACAGGGGCAGGTCCCGGCCAAGGGGGGTTGCGCAGGATCACTCAGAGCGCATCACCTCTCCCCCGTCCTCCCTCCCCAGGGAGATCGAGCTTAACTTCCCAGAACCAAGGCGAAGCGAGGGAGGTGGGGGCGACGTTCGACTCTTGGGAAGCTCCCAGGGGACAGCGACCCCTCTCCCGCCCCCACCCCGTCTTGAGGATCTCAAAGCGCTTGCTAAAGGGTCTGTGCTCAGTCCAAAGGGAAGCCACCCCTGGTATGCCCGGATCCCCAGGATGTCCCCGCTCCGCCCCCCCCCCCCGTCCCCCCTCCCACCCCCCGCCAAGCTCCCACCCACCTGTGGCTTTGCCCAGGACTGAGGGTCCAGGCACCAGGGTCTGGGCAGGGAGAGGAGGTCAGTCGGAGAACTGAAGGCGCAGCGAGGTGACCCCTCCCGCGTGTCTCCCCGCCCCCCCCCTCCCCGCCAGACTCAGCTTGGGGTGGGGGCGGGGGTCCTAGCAGACCCCCGCGGACCGTGGCGGGGTCCCCACACTCACCTGCCCCGGGGTGGTGACCCGAGGCTGGAGGCTGTCCCGCGGGCACGCCGGAGTCGCAGCGCGAAGGGGTCGGGGCCCGCGGGGGGACGCGGTCGCAGCTCCAGCTCGGGCGGCGGCGGCAGCGCAGCAGGGACTCATTCACCGGCGGCGGCGGCGGGAAACCGCCCAGCCCGGCCGCCGCGCCGCCGTATTCCTCCTAGTACAGCCGCACGCGCAGCCCCCGCCCCGCCCCCAGGCCCTAGGGGCCCCCGCCCCGCCCCGCCCCGCCCCGCCCCCAGGCCCAAGCCCCAGGGGCCTGGTGGGGGTCGATGGGAGGCAAGCAGGTGGTTGCGCCTCGTCGAAGGCCAGTCGTAGCTCTTGTGCCTGCGGATCCGCGCTGTAGGGCCCCCGGAGGCCCCAAGCCCCTGCCTCAGCTCACCTGGGCGGGACACAGACCCGCACCTGCCGTGGGCCGGGGCTCCAGAGACAGGCCCTTCCCGTCTCACGCGATGAGTACAGTAATGGCAACAATTGGGGCGCCTGGGGGGGCGCAGTCGGTTGAGCCTCCGACTTCCGCTCGGTCATGATCTCACGGTTGGTGGGTTCGAGCCCCGCGTCGGGCTCTGGGCTGACCGCTCGGAACCTGGAGCCTGCTTCGGATTCTGTGTCTCCCTCTCGCTCTCTGCCCCTCCCCCACTCTTGCTCGCTCTCTCTCTCTCTCTCTCTCTCTCTCTCTCAAAAATAAATAAAAATAAAAAAAAAAAAAAAAAAGTGCGGCTGAAGGTGTCCCCGCCGGCCCCCAAGGATTCACCAGAACCGGGTGGGTCTGTGCAGGGGAAGTGAGGGTTTCCTTCTGGAAATAAGGACATGGCCGCTGAGACGCGCTCCTCCCCAGTAAACGGGCAGGCGTCCGCACGTTGCAGCCGTGCAAGAAGCGGCCTTCATTTCGAGAACAAATGTTTATTGAGCAGCTGGTGGACGCTGGGCGGGCAGCAGTCTGGGTGCTGAGGACGCGGCTGTGATGCATGGACACAATGTCCAGCTTTCCGATGCGTCCCAGTGCGAGGGATGCCAGAAGACAGACACCGATGAAGTGTTACGGGTTCGGTGGTTCCTGTGACACACGCAGAACAGGAAACCGTGACCCAGGGGAAGAGGGGACAGCACCGACATGCTGTTCGCAGACGGAGAGACAGAGGAGGGGTGAGACCAGGACAGGGCCCCAGGCCTGGCAGCTCCTGAGCACACAAGGTCTGCTGGATCCCAGCCCCTCCCGACTTGTGATCTGCTCCCCTCAACCTCTGCTTCCTCATTCCTGGCCCTCCCTCCCAGCCTCGACGCCCCCTTCTGAAACCTAAGGCCTACCCGTCTTGGGTGAGGAGACAGCACGATAATGTATGGCCAGGACTGATGCAAAGCCTGGGCTTTATTAAATTACGATTGTCCCAGAGCCTCCTGTGTTCCAAGAGCGTCCCCAAGCCCCATCGTGGCCCCAGCTTCGGCTGGGGCTGGTCTGGAGTGACCACTGGTTCAACAGCAGAAGGGGGTGCAGGGGGGCAGGTGGGAGCCGGACAGAACTCCTGCCCCTCCAATGCCTCCACCTGACCTTAGAGTGAGGTGGGCTTTGGAGTTCCATTGTCCAGATGAGAAAAGCAAGGCTCAGCAGGGCCCATGACCCCCCCCCCCCCCCAAAGGTCTGTCTCAGCTTTGCTCTCTCTCAGCAAATATTAAGGCCCCTCTTTGTGCTGTGGGCAACACTGGCACGACCACAGAGTCTGACAGGGGAGGCAGATGCCAATGAATGCATCATTTCACCACTGCCTCCAGGAAGCCTGCCCTGCCTGCCAGCCTGGGCTGGGCCAGCATCACGGCCCGGCAGAGCCCACTGAACCGCAGCTTGAGCTACCATGAAGAATGCCCTGGAGCGCATACTTGTTTGACATCCGTTGCCCCTGCCAGCCTGGAACTGCAGGGAGGAAGGGGTGTGGCAGCCTTGTCCCTGCCTTGTCCCCAAGACACTGGGGTCTTTAATAACTACCTGGCAGACAGATGGATGAACTAGCACCACAGTAAGAGGGATGACTCCTGGAAGTGCACTCTTTCTGGAAGCAGGCAGGAGGGAGGACCTCAGAGGCCATGGGCCGCCTTTCTCCATTGCACAGACAGGGACAGTGGTGCCCACTAAGGTGGAGTGAGCATCTCAGGTCTTCTGACGACAAGCCACGCTGCGTGCTGGGGGCTTCACTCCGCCCTCACCCCTACCCAGCTGGGGCAGGTCTACTCCCAGTTGGGTTGAGGGAGGAGGCAATGAGTTTATTCTGTGCCGGTTCCTGTGCTAAGCAACTGGGGATGCTCATCTGGGGTTCGAATCCTGAGGCCAACACTTCCTGAAGTGTCCAGACCTCTCTGCCTCTATCTCCTCGGCTGTCCACCAGCATAACAGCTGTCCCTGCACCACAGCCACAGAGCAAGGACAGACAGGTGCTGACAGGCAAAGTGCTCACAACAGGGCCTAGAGCACTGATGTGAGCGCCAGCCTTCACTTCTTGGACGTTGCTCCTGGTGAGAAAAGGGGCTCAGCTGTGGGAGGCCTGGCCGGGCCTCGAAGGGAACCCCAGAACCTGAACCCCACCACTGCTAGCTCAGCCGAAGCCACACCCCTGTGCCTCCACCCCATCACCTTTGGGGGCTGGGGAAACTGAGCCCCAGACAGAAAAGGTACCTGGGGACAGGTCCCAAACACCTGCCTTGGGAGGGGCGGGGGCCAGGAGGCTGGCCCTTCCTGCTGGTTAGTGAGGCTTGCGGTCCGTACAGAAGAACCTCTCCCGGCCAACAAAACCTACCTCCTCTGCAGAGCCCTGTGGCTGACCGGCGTGGCAGACCCCCCCCCCGGACTCCCCCACACCCCAAGTTGCAGCCTTCCTGGGATCAGAAATGGAGAGGTGCAGGCTTCCAGTCCAAGCTGGGGAGGGGGACCGGGCGATATTGGCCAGCACCCTCACCCCTGACCTGAGTCATGCCACTGCATGATGGATGGCCTTGGTCTTCCACTCCCACCCCCCCGGGGGGTGGCCGCATGGGGTGGGGGGGGGGCGGGGCGGTGCCCTGCCGGGGGCTGGCTTGGGTGGGGGCCCCCCCCCCCCCCCCACAGCCACCACAGACAGGTCTTGGGAGAAGCACAGGGAGGGGCCTCAAAGAAGGAAGCTCCAGTCCAGAGGGCCACCTTGTACCCACACAGCTGTGGCAACAGCTGCTCCTCTGAGCTCTGTCTCCTCCCCTAGAAAAGGAAGGCCTGCCTGCAAGCTCCCAGGAGACACCCCGACCCAACAAGGCAGAGGTTAACTCTCTGTGGGGGAGGGCCACCACGCCCGGTTTCCAGGTAAGGAAACTGAGGCACACGGGGCAGCCCAATTCCACAGGGTACGCAGTTCAGGGAAGGGAAGCAACCAGTCTGAGTGGACACGGTGGCTGCCTCCCACCCCAAGACTCCCTGAGGGTGAGGCTGGCGCAAGGAGCATCTGTTGAACAATTGAAGGTAGAATGGTGCAAGAGACGTGTGGGGGACCCAGCTGAAGCTAGGCTCACAGCTCCCGTCACTGTGTGTGCACCCCAGACCTGGCTCTTCCAGCGCAGAGAGCAGGACGAGGAGGTGATGGGGTGCGAACCCCAGCTCTGCTACCCCCCCCGGCGGTGAGGCCTCGAACAAGCTGTGTCCTCCGCTCCACCTGTAGTCACACACAGGTCATCCTTCTGGTCCCTAAATGTGCTGGGAGCCACAGACACCACAGGGCCTTTGCACATGCCATTCCTTCTGCCTCGAACTCTGTCCTCGTCATCTGGGGCTCTCATCCTCCAGATCGCAGCCCCTGTGTCATTCCCACAGATCACTAAGTTCAGGACTCTTTCCTTTTCACTGTTGTCATTACACGCTTAGCAGTGATTTGCTGATCAACGTCACTTGGCCGTTAACTCCACAAGGACAGACCACAAGGACCAGTCCCGGTCCTGCTGCATCCTTGTTACTCCACCAGAGGTCCAGGCAGGTAAGAGGAGAATGCAGGCTTACTAAAGGGTATCAGGATGGGGGGGAGGGGTGGATGGACCAGTGAATGGAATGCCCAATAGATGGCTGGATGGATGGGTGGACGTGGGTTGGGTGCACACACCGGTAGCTCTCTGCCTCCGTGTCTCTAAAGTAAGAGGCACGGCGTCTGTCTCCTCGGGCTCTGTTTTTTGACGGCTTTCCCCCCTGGTTACAGACAGAGCAGGGTGTGGGCTGCTCCCCTCACCCTCACCAGGCTCCCCCAGGGCAGGGGGTGTGGCCTGCTGACTGCAGAGAAATCTCATCGGATCTCTCAGTCTCCCCAGAGATCCAGACCCTGGGCAGGGGTGTGGCCCTGGCAGGGAGGCCTCTCCAGGAGGGCCAGAGGAGGGGTTCCGGGAGAGATGGCGGTCTCTGGGAAGGAGAGCCCAGAAATCATGTGAGGCAAGGTCTGCAGAGCAACAGCCGTGTGCAGGGGCTCTGTCGGAGACAGGGGTGGTCTGAGAGAAGTCAGGCCACATTCGGGGGGAAGTCAGGAGCAGTTTGGAGGGAAAAGAACTTTTTGCCAGACATGCAGGGGCATCTTGAAAGAGGTTTGCAGCATTCAGGAAATACAGATGTTTCCAAGGGGAAGACGGGGGTGTTGGGGAAGCTTTATCTCGGGGTAAAAACAGGTGTGAGGGAGATGCCGGGGGTTCTTGGACAGCAGACCACTGCCCCACGGGCCCAGCGCCCTCTTCCCCCTCCCCCCCCCTCCAGTCCCCACATCCTCCAGCCCCGAAAGGCCACACCGTGGGCCTTGGCTCTGCCCCTGGGACACTGGCCTCAGCCTTCCAGCCAGAGGGCCTCTCAATGTGCAGGTGGGTTCATTTCCTCATGGTCGTGTTACCAGCAGATCCCAAATGTCCATGCAGGTTGGCAGCCGGGAGGGCAGAGTCCCACAACCACCCACCGCCCCCCACCCCCGAGCCGGTTGTGCTGGCCTTGCCTGGATGCCCCCCATCCCAGCTGGGCCCCAAGGCTACCCGCCCCTTCAACATCAGCAGGTGCCCTGGCCTGAGGACCCAAAGCATCTCAATTCTTCCCCATAAAAGACAACTGTGCACTGATTTTTCAGGTGGAAAAACTGAACCAGTCAAGGACAGGAATCCCTCTTTCCAGGGAGAGAAGCTGAAGTCCATCTGGGAAAAGAGGTGGGCCTCCTTAACCCATCGGGGGCCCTGGCCAGGGCTTGGAGATGGAGGACTGCTTGTCTTTAATGTATTTTCTTTAGAGGTGAGAAAAGGTTCTGTCTTTGGTATGGACACCCTCACTCCAGGCAGAGGGTGGAGGCAGGCAGGGCGTCAGCAGGATAAAGGGGTGGTGGGCCCCCATTTCTTGGCCTTGTTGACCCCGCCCAGGGACGGCTGGAGAGAGGCCTATGCGGGGGAAGGAGAGACAGTGGCGGTTCCAGCCTGACCAGGGTCCGGAGGGAGAGGCTGAGGAGCCCGTAAGGCCACAACAGGGGCATCTGCGGAGCAGGACAGGAGCTGGGAGCTGAGAACCATCACCTGGGGAAGAAAGAGAAGGAGAGGTCAAGGGTCAGCTGAGACGGCAACCAGAGACCCAGGTTCCGGCGTCCGGGACCCTGAACCTCAGTGACAGGGCCCAGTGAGGGCCTCCAGGCTGAGGGACCGGGGTAAAGCTCCCCACGTTCTTACAGTGTGACCTAGGGTAGTGCTCTAACCTGCCTGTGCTATTTCTTCTGCAAAACGACAATGCTAACGACAGTGCCAGTTCAGAACCACGGGGGAAGCCTGTGGAGTTTCGGGAGGTGGGAGCATAGCTATTATTACTGCCATCAGCATGGTTTCTCGGGTCACAAACACCTTGGGGAAGGGAAGCAAACGTGCAAACACACAGCCCCCGACCTGCTGATCCTTTCAGGTGTCCCATGGGCCCACCCCCAGCCCCAGAAGCCCTTCCCTAGACCGGAAACCCCTTCTGTGCCTGCAGCCTGAGGCCTGGGTGGGGGAGGAGGCAGGAAGGGGACCCCGCTGTCTTGGGGACAGGAGAGCAACCCAACCTGGCCAGAAGCTCCTCTCTGCTGAGCCCTTGGGGAAATTCCACAACCCTCTTCCTTTGCAGCCCCTCCCTCCCCAGCTGAGCCCCCAGCTCCTGGCTTCCAAATCCCAGGTCCTGTGTCTCCCTCCTCCCCAAGACAGTTCATGCCACCACCACCCCCTGCACCCGCAGCTCACGCGCATGTCCTGCCTAAACCACCCCCACCTCCCCCAGAGGCCCCAGTCTCTCACCAAAAGGTCCTGGAACCACCCAGACCCAGACCTGCCTGTCCCTCCCAACACCAAAAGCAAAAGCCCAAGGGTGCACCTTTTCATCTCGCGCACCTCTCCTGAAACACCCATCCGACCCAGGCTACGCCCCCCCCCGTTAAACACGGAGTTACCATAGCAACTCAGCAATTCCACTCCTGGGTATATGCCCAAGAGCCATGAACATAGTCCACGCAAAAACCTGGACGTATGTGTTCTGAGTGGTCTTCCCCGTGATAGCCAAAAAGTGGAAACACCCAAATGTCCACTGACAGTGAGTGGATAAACACGTGCCCACCGCGCACGCGCACGTCCACAGATGACCGCATCCCCCGCGCATGCGCACGTCCCTCGGCTGCAAGCCGAAGCGAGACATCCACACCTGCTGCCCGTGGGCGCACCCTGAACACACGACGCTCAGGGAGGGAACCAGACACCAGAGGCCACACGGCCTGTGAGTCCACGTGTGTGAAACGTCCAGAACAGGCTCATCCACGGATGGGAAGGGAGCTCGTGGGGGCCGGGGACTGGGGGAGGGGTGATGGTGACAGGGTACCTTTTGGGGTGGCAGAATGTTCTGGAATTAGGTAGAGGATGGTTGCACATCTCTAAACATGCTAAAAAAACAAAACAAAACAAAACACTGAGTGGCACACTTTAAATGGGTGAACTGTGTGCTTTGTGAATTTTCTTAGTTTCTAAAATGAGAGAAAAGCTGGCGAACGGGAGAAGCTGGGATCCGTGGGGCCCACTGCGCACCTGGCTCAGGGCTCGCGTTTGACCACGCCGCGCAGATGCAGCTCGCTTTCGGCCGCCACGATGGGTTGCCCATTCTGCAGGTGGTAGTCGATCAGATGGCTGATGCTCTCAAAGAGCACATCCTTCGTCCGCACCTGTGGGGCCAGAGGCGTCAGCGTCAGCAGCACTGGGAGCTGGAGAGGCCTGCTGACTGGGAATCTGCAACCTCAGGAGCCCGCCCCGTGGGTCTGATGCACGCTCCAGTCTGAGAGCCGCTGCGTCAGAAGCTTCCAGGACTTCAACCACAGAATCAGACTCAAGATTCCAGAGTAAGGTATGCACACGGGCCCCAAAACCACCAGGGTTCTGTGGTCCCCAACAGACCCCTTTTTGGTGGTCCCCAAAAAGTCATGTCCGTGTCCCAAACCCTGGAAGCCGTGGACAGGAACTTGTTTGGAGAAAGTGTCTTTGCAGATGTGTCTTTGATGCAGTTCAAAGACACAGCTGATGGTTAAAAACCACGCAGGCTTCAAAGACGTCAAAACAGATGAACGTAGGGAAAGGGGGTGGGGGGGGTAGAGGGAAGCAAACCACAAGAGACTCAATGATAGAGAACAAACTGAGGGCTGAGAGAGGGAGGTGGGTGGGGGTGGGCTAGACGGGTGATGGGCACTAAGGAGGGCATTTATTGTGATGAGCACTGGATGTTGCATGTGTTATGAATCACTGAATTACACTCCTGAAGCCAATTTTACTATACATGTGAACTAACTAGAATTTCAGTAAATACTTGATGTCAAAAAATAAAACTTGAATTTGAAAAAGGAACTAAGCTTAGTCTCTTCAAAAAAAATGAGAGAGGGGTGGCTGGGGGCTCAGTCGGTTAAGCATCTGACTTTGGCTCAGGTCATGTTCTCGTGGTCCATGGGTTCGAGCCCCACATTGGAGTCTACGCTGACAGTTTGGAGCCTGGAACCTGCTTGGGATTCTCTGTCTCCCTCTCTCTGTGCTCCCCCCCCCCTCAATTGTTCCCTCTCCCCTGCTTCTCAAAAATAAATAAACTTTGGGGCGCCTGGGTGACTCAGTCGGTTAAGCGACCGGCTTCGGCTCAGCTCATGATCTCGCAGTTTGTGAGTTTGAGCCCCGGGTCGGGCTCTGTGCTGACAGCTCAGAGCCTGGAGCCTGCTTCAGATTCTGTGTCTCCCTCTCTCACTGCCCCTCCCTGGCTTGCAGTCTGTCTCTCTCTCAAAAATAAATAAACATTAAGAAATTTTTAATAAATAGATGAAAGGAAAGTGTGCATCATGAAGAAATTTACTAACTTGTAGATCCTAGAACTCCTTGCAAATTGACATGTTTATGAGGCTTGAAATACATTATTTAAAAAAAAAAACACTCAAAGACATCATTCTTTGTAAGACACACAGTGATGACATGAGACAAAGATAATGTAAAAACGGGGTGGGGGGACAAAACAAGAGACCCATAAATATGGAGAACAAACTGAGAGTTACAGGAGGGGGTATGGGAGGGGGGATGAGCTAAATGGGTAAGGGGCACCAAGGAATCTACTCCTGAAATCATTGTCATACTAAATGCTAACTAACTTGGATGTAAATTTTAAAAAAATAAAAAATAAAATAAATATATCAAAAAAAAAAAAAAAAGACGCATAGTGATGACAGACTGTAGGGGCAAAAGCGCATCTTATAATTGATCAAATACAGCACTTTATAACCCCTGAAAGGCCTCGAGGCTAGAAAAGGTTTTGTAACCCCTAAAACGCCGTATAGACTGGGAACTCCCTTGTAAACCCTGAAATTCTTCTTAAACGGGAAAATACTTTGTAATTCTAAGTTACCTGGTAAACGGAAACAGAATCTGCTTTGTAACCCTCAAACTACTTTGTTAAACCTAAAGATGCTAACTAAGGCCGTCCATCGGGCCATGCTCCCGGCCCCGGCCCCGGCCCCGGCCCCGGCCCCGCCCCCTGAGGCCCCGCCCCTCCGCCCTCAGGCCCCGCCTCCGGCCCCCGCGCGCCACCTTACCACGCCCTCAGGGTCCACAAGTAGCAGGTGCTTGGGCTGCCCCGCATGCATGCCTGTGAGGACGTACTGCCCGGGATTGGTGACGCTGTCGCGCACCAGGAAGTCCCCGTCGGCTCGAAGCAGCTTCTCTGCGGCCCTTCGGCTCATCTGGCCGTGGTACCAGGGCTCCTGCCGCAGCTGCTCCTCCGTGGGGGCGATGGGGGCCCGGCGGGTGGGGGGGCTGGGCCACTGGTCCTCCAGGGGAAGGGGCGCTACCGCCGCCCCCGCCCCCGCAGAGCACTCGTGCAGCTTCAGAGCGTCCTCGAAGGGTCCTGGAGGCGAAGATGAAGTGCAGGAGGCGGGGTTGGCAGCTGCCTCCTGCTGGAAAGCGGAGGGGGGTGGCCTGGGCTGGGAGGAAAAAGCTCCAGGTGGTTACCCCCGACCCAGGACCTGAGCAACATTGAGCACCTAGGGTGCCTCAGACCTTGCCCTAAGGTCACAGTATGTCACTGGCCGTGCGCTGAGTGGGTGTGTGTGTGCTCTGTGTGGTGCCAACCTGGTCACCAGTCACCTTCCTGACCCTCTAATGGGTTCTATTAGTTATGCAGTATATTTTCACGGATTTGGTTAAATCTATGCAAATGAGGTCAGCGTTTCTTCCTCTCCAATGTTTATGCCTGTTTCACTAATTGCCTGGTGACATCGCCAGCCCCTCTAATACGACACTGCATCTCGGTGGCAGGCGGCAGGCATCCCTTTCTCTTACAGACAAGCTTCTCACAGAAAAGCTTCCTATGATCTGCAGGGGTTTTCTGAGGCTTCCAGCAAGCACCAGTGTGACACTGGACAAGCCACTCGCCCTCTCTGAGCCTGTCTCCTCACTGTAAAGTTGGATGTGGAGCTGTGGAGCAGTATAGATCAGACACCCTGGAAGGCAGAATCCCAGCGCTGACCCCCGCACTCCCACATGCCTTCCACTTTCTCGCCCTTGGGAATCCCTCCTCCCTGACTCCTTCCATGGTCTGGGGGCAGCCAACCCAGCCTCCAGCCACCAGGACGTGTGACCACACAAATCAGAGACAGACCCAGAATTTTCAATGGAAGCCTGGCCAGAGCTGCTGGGCCGCCTGATCACCCCGGGGGGACCGCCGGCCTCAGAAGCCCCCACACTGGAGCAGCTCCTTTCCCAGGTGAGGACTGCTGTGGGGAGGCAGCGGGGGCCACGCCTTTAGTCTGGCAACCGCTACACAGTGGGCACTATCAGCCCATGTCCTATTGCGATAAGAAATCCAGTTAGGGGGCCTGGGTGACGGCACGGAACCTGCTTAGGATTCTCTGCCTCCCTCTCTCTCTGCCCCCCGCTCACATGCACACTCTCCAGTTGTCAGATGGTGGGGAAGGGGGCTTGGCAGACTTTGTGAAGGAAGAAATTTCCAGCCGGCTTCCTGGGGCTCTCCCACTAGGGAGGCATCCCGAGGAAGGGAGATGACCATGCCTGAGGATGACCACGACATTGGCGTGGTTGCAGATAATGACGCTGTTTGGATCGCAAACTTCCCCCGTTAGACTGACCACCCCCTCAGGCTGGGGCATCACAGAGGGAAGAAAGGAATCAAGTGCTCACTCCATCAATATGTGGTTCGGCCTCCCTCATTAGACTGGGGTCCCCTCAAGGTTGCCTCCCCCACCAGGCTGGGATTCCCAGTGGAAGGGGCTTGGGCCTACTGCCTTGAGCCACAGAGTCACCTGAGGAGGGAGCTAAAATCCCCTTGTCAGACTGGGAGACCCAGAGGTAAGGAGCTACCCCCGCCCCCAAGAGACTAAGGAGTATCATGGAGAACAGGGGCCTGAGCCTCCCCCATCATACTAGCCACTCTTGAACTAGGCATGAACTAGGCCCCTCCCCTCAGACTAGGGACCCCTATAGAGAGGAGGCTGGCTTACTCCCAACAGACTGAAGAGCCCCGGGGAGGGGGGTGGGGGGAGGCTACCAGAGCCTCCCCTATCACACTAGGGAGTCCTGTAGGAAACACTTCCCACCCCACCCTCACCACTTTGCAAAGTCCCAACTGGAGAGGGCTGGGCCTCCCCCATCAGACTACAGGTTGCTAGGGGCATGGCCTCCCCCCTCAGGCTGGCCTGCCCCTACATACGCATGTCGAACAGGTCCTTCTTGGGGCTGTCCTCCGGCTGCAGGGGCTCTGGGGCATCCAGACCCTGTGTGTTGACGTACAGGTGGTCCTCATAGTCTCTGGGGCCCCGTGCATCAGCCTGCACGTAGCCATCCCCTGGTGGGCCTGGGGAGGGTAGGAGGAGTGGAGGGGGCAGCTGGGGGAGCAGCGGACCCCACCTGGGAGCCCCGCCCAAGCCCGCCTCCCTGCCGGATGGAAACTTCACACCCTCTTGCAGAGCCATCTGGAGTGAAAACCCATAAATGTCCAACCAGGGGCTGTGGGGCACTAGAGGGCCACTCTCGGGGAGGGGCCACTGTGACTAGGCAGGACGATGGCAGAAACCCCCATGTTTCTGTTAAATGTCCCCATCTAAAAATTACTAACAACGAACTGTCCCCCCTGTAATTATGCTATCCACATGACACATAGGTCATGTGTTTCTGTTTCTGTCCTATTGTAGGGTTTCCTTTCTTTTCAAGCTTAATTGTAAGTGTGTAACGCATTTGCATGGTTCAAAAGCCACAACCACAGTAAGAATTGTCCTTGGAGGGATTTCTCACTTGGGTCCACTCAGTGCCCCATTCAGATTCTGCTGGATCCTGACCACTTTGCCTCTGCCCTGTTCCCCTGCCCTCACCCCTCCCAGGGTGTTGGGTTTTTGCTGGTCTGACAGGTTCCCAGGTAAATGGCGTCTGGGGGACCTTACTTCCCATTTCTCTTATTTTGAGCAAGGCTGAGCTTTTCCCAGGTTCAAAGGGCATTTGTGCATATTTTTCTCAGAACTGTCTCTTCATTTCCAGACGTCACCACTTTTAATCCTTGGCAGAGAAATAATGATTTTGGCACACTGCGTGGCCAAATCCAGCCCAAGGGCCCTACTGTTTGCAATCCCCATGGTATGCCAACTGCATCCTTAACCTCATGGGCATTGGGCTCACAGGCCAGCTCCACCTGCCCTCTGTGGACAGGGGAAAGTTCGCCACCCTCTCTGTGCCTAACTCTCTTCCTCTGTAAAATAGGGAGAATAGGAGTCTCCTTCATAAGCGGGGTGAGGACCAAAACCGTAGAACAGCGTCTGGCAAACAGATATGATTCAATATGAGTGCTGACCATGTGCCAGGCCTGGATGGCTGATGGGGGCAGAGGGGTTTCAGTGCAGGCTTCCCAGTCTGCCTGGAGGAGGCATGGATTCTCCCAGCCTTTCATGGCCAGGGCCAGGGAAGAGGGAAGAAACTCAGGTTGTAGAATCCGGACAGAGAGAATCCCCAGACACAGGAGCTGGGGCATCGATGTATTGGAAGGAGTTCTTGGCTAGAGAATTAAGAAAGGTATAAAAAGAAGTCTTAACAGTGTGTGCAAGGGCTCAGGGCTGGGAAGTGCCTATGAGCCCTGGAAGTCATGGGTGAGCAGCCCATGTCCCAGACAAACAGCACACAAGGGCCACGTTATAGCTTGGCACCTGGTTCTTTAACCACTGGGTGCTGGCAGTCGACGAGGGTTCTGACGCTTGGCAGCGAAGTGCCCAGATTATCTGGGAAGATCTAAAAAAAAAAAAGCCCAGCACAGATGTTAGGCTGTGAGGGGACAGGCGACTACAGCAGGCTGGTGGGCGAACCGACGGGCACCCTCGCTTCGGAGAGCAGCTTAGCAGCCTCCAGTAACGTGACTAACAGGCTCTGACGTCAGCAGCCTCACGGCTCGGCACCCACAGGAGAAACACGGGGCTGCACACCGTGTGTGGGGGGGGGGGACCCTCGGTGCCCACCAGTAGGGGCTACGTAGGCACGCAAGCTCCAGGAGGCTGACACTGAAGAACCTCAAAGCGACCAAGACGCCCACAGCACGCCTGGAGAGTCACCATGTCTGCGGGTGCCTGTTCTTACCGAGCCCGAAAGGAGACACAGAGGAGCCGGGGGGCTGAGCGCCCCGACTGGGAGCGGAGGGCCAAGGGGGTGCCAGCCTTCCGTCACTTCTCATTCCGCGTAACAGGGCAAAGTGCTCGTGGGCCGAACACCCAGTCGATTCGTGAAAGCCAAAGCCCGAAGTGCCGGGTGGTGGGGACACGCGTGATTTTCATCACAAGAGAACAAGGAGCCGCCCTCAGGGGACCGGATCGTGTGGAGACCAGAACCAGCGGAATGGCGAACATCCGTGGCCCTTCGTCACACCGCAGACGCCACAGCAAGCACCTGGAGTCTACCCAAGTGTCCGTGAGTCAAGTGCAGGCGAGATAAAAGAGACCCTCTGCGCAGGGCGGGGGGGGGGGGTCGCGGGCAGCGCGAACAAGAACGGGCACGGGGCGCATGCTGATGCGGAAGGAACTTCGGGGTGGATTGCTACATGGGAAAAGCTAGGCGGGAGCGAAAGACATAGTACATGGATTGGAATGCGCTTGAACGTCCGCGGAAAATACTGGAAAAATAACGGAAACTGCTAGTGACAGTGGTGGCCTGACTGGGGAGGTGGATAGGCAGACGGGGCCAGGGGGACACCATGACTTCTCACTGAAGGCCTTCCTGTGCTCTGGCATTTTGAACCACGTGAATGCTGTGTCCCTCCCAAAATGCAATGAACCTAGTCTGTACAGAAGAGAGACAAACCAACTAAGAGCGTGGGGGGCACACAACATCTCGCGGGTGAAAGTGAAGTGGGGCAGAGGAGAGGCACTGGGTGGGGGGGGGGGGGCCTCCCTGAGCCTCCAGGGCATCTACTGTTACCTGAGGGGCCCAGGTCCCACGGCAGACTGCGGGTGTCCCTTCGAGCAGGCGATACGCCCTGAAAAAGAGAGTGAGGGGTCCTTCTGCCACGTGCAAGCCCCTTCCCAGCCCAGCACCCCGCCCTCCAGGAGGGCTGGACCTTCCCAGCCCAACACCCCACCATCCAACACCCTGCCCTCCTGCACGGCTGGAGACCTAAGTCAGATGCTGAGAGGGAAGCTCTGCACCCTGCCAACCCTGCCCCCAGGCCCTGGCTGCTGCATGCTGTTCCCTTCACCTAGATGCCCTTCCCTGCACTGCTCTCCCGGGCAACTCCTATTCACCCGTCAGGGCCCAGCCCAAACACTGCTTCCTTGTGGAAGTCCTCCGACCACAAAGTCAGTCTCCCGGTTGTACATTCTCATCACCTCCCCTGGAAACCTGTCTCGTCTCGGGGCCCTGATTAAACTGCCAATAGAATTCTCTGATCAGTGTCTGAGGGTGGGAGTCACATCTGGAGTAGGGCCAGACCCGTCTGTGCAATCTGGGGCAGGAAGGAGGGCAAGGAGGGGCAGGGAAGCATGAGATACCCTCCCCTAGGGTCAAGGAGAAGGGGAGCAGAAGGAGAAGCCAGGGTCAGGCCCAAGGAGCCAGTGCCTAGAGATGACCTCCCACCATCCCTCCCCCACGAGGGCCACAGAGGCTGACCTGGCCGAGGGCGCCGACGGCACAGGGCTGAGTTAGGGCGAGCCTGGAGTCCACCAGCCCACCCAGGGGCGGCTCCTTCCCTGGGATGCTGTTGTAGTAATTGTGCTCCGTTTCCTCCTCGTCCCCCCAGGCCGACTCCTCGGGCCTGGTCAGCCTGGGGACAGACAGCAAGAAGGAGCACAGGCAGGGACCTCAGGTCTCAGGGGCAGAGAGAGAGGGAGCTCCTGCCAGGACGCCAAAGCTGCGTGGCTGGAGCTTTGCTCGGTGGGCCGGGCTGAGCCCCTTCCTGCTCTGGGCCAGTGCGCTTTCCTCCTCTGTAAGGTGGGACCTCACACTCTTTCCAGTGCCTTCTAGAAACTACAGCTGGTCTCCACTCCCTTGCGCCCACCTCTGCCCACCCCACCCCCACCAGGCAGCACACACAGGGTGCCGGTCTGGCACACAGAGCCGGTGCCGCGGGGCCAGGATGGGGGCGCCCTCGGCACCATCTGGCCCTGCAAGGGCCCCTGTAGAAATCGATCAGGCGACTGCGGTTCCTGACAGCCAGGCGGGGGAGGCTGTTATCAGTGTTTATCAGGCACGAGGGTGCAGGCAGCAGAGGAGGGCCCCGCGAGCGGACACGACGGACACGTGAGCCCGCGTGGCGCAGGCATGCGGGTGAGGGGCTGAGCGGAGGAGAAGCGCACGGCAGCATGTACTCCCGCAGACGCTGCCTATTCCTTAACGGGAGCACGTTTGTACGCCGAACACGTTCACCTGTCCGTCATTGAGTCTGGCAAGTTTCCACCCAGTGAGCTACTGAGTAGCTAAAAGCAGGGCTCAGCAAGTCTGGCCCCCGCCTGCATGCGCGCAGCCTAGGAGCTAAGAATGCTTTCTACTCTTTTAAGCCACAAAACTTTTAAGCGATTAGGAGAACATCCAAAGAACAATATTTGGTGACACGTGAAAATTACATGAAATTCCGAATTTAGCGCCTACAAACACAGTTTTGCTGGCAGGCAGCCCATTGATCTTTTCACGCGTGGTCCCCAGCCGCTCTTGCCACAATGGCTGAGGCAGGCGTTCCGGCCCAGGAAGCTGAACAGACCGACTGGCCCTTTTGCAGAAGCGTTGGCCACACCCGTCCAGGCTGGTGATGACCACAGCCGCTGACTGGCTCCCCTAATCCTCGCCTCAGCCCAGGCGCGGGCTGTTTTCACCCGGGTTTTATAGAGGAGGGTGTGGCGACCGGGCAGTGGAGCCGCGTGCCCACAGGGGGCAGAGAGGGAAGGAGGGACAAAGCGAAGGCCCACACCCGGGGTGGAGATGGTGAGCGCAGGGACTGCGCATCTGGCCTTGGTCAGGTGGCACGATGTCTCTGGGAAGACGTGGAGGACGCGGCCTGGTACCTTTCCGGGGGCAGGACCGCCCTGGGGGGGCTGTGCAGGTACTGTTTGAAGCGCAGCTCGAAGGCTTGGCCCACGGTGCTGATGATGCTCTGGGCGAGGCCCTCACAGCACTCCAGGATGTGGCAGGCTGCAGAGGGTCACGGTCACGTAGCATCAGCGTAGCCTCGGCCCACTGGCACAGCAGCCCACAGGGCCCCCCCGCCCGCCCCCACTGGGACCTCACCTCTCTGGTTGATGGGATCCTTGGCTACGTAGGCCACATAATCAGTCATGTCCTGGGGGACAGAGAGGACAAGTGGGAGGGCTGGACCTGCCAGGGCCACCCCGGCCTGGTAAGGGGGCAGGGGTGGATGGGCATGGGGCCGTAGGGCACAGACAGGACCAGAAGTCTACCCCCCCCAGTCCCTGGCCTTACCGTGTCACCTCCCGACGCAAAGGAGATAGACTGCATGTGGTGGTTGGCAATGACCTGGCGGGAGAGAGACACAGTCATGGGGGGCCACAGTCCCGGGGCCGGGGAAGGGGGCAGGCTCACCAGGCCAGGGCCACAGAGAAGCGACCAGGAAAGGGCTGGATGGGGAACGCCCACCACCCTCACACGTGCATACGTCTGACACCCAGACACAGACGCACGGACATGCCCGCAGACGTGCACAGACGCACAGAAATGCCTGCAGCTGTGCACAGACACGGACACGCCCTCCTACACACAGATGCTCACACATGCAGTCACACACACTCAAGCCCATCTTTGCGCCCTCACGCCTGGTGCTCTGGCCCGCGTGTCCACCCAGACACACACCGCGGACGGCGCACTAATCTGGCACAGCCAAGGCAGCCATGGAGGCTTGGAGGAGACACAGGAGGGAAGAGCCGGAGGCTCTGTTCTGGCACCAGCGCCCGGGCATCATCATCCGTGTGCTCATTTGCGTGCTCATTTGCACGCTCATTTGCATTTGCTTGCTCATTTGCATGCTTGTTTTTGGTGCACACTAGCAGGCCTGTTTCCGTGTTCATTCGCATGCTCATTTGCATCCATTTGCCACCTCCCATTGCTGTCCTCAGTGCTCATGTTCCTTCAGGGCCCAGGGAGCAGCGGCCGCCTCACCAGGTGCTCCACAGATGCCCTGCTTGGGCTCCCTCCGCGGTGCCCCCACATCACTGCTCTTCCCAGGCTCACAGTGCTGTCTGGACAAGTCCTAACTCCCCACCACGAACCTCACTGACCTCTCCAGCTCTGTCTCCCCACAGGGTGACCTATGCCTGGGACATCTCTCCTCACCTCCTCCCTGGGAGCCAGCATCACCGCCTCCAGGAAGCCCTTCGTGACACCCCTGCTAGGTTACAGTGCCCTGTGCACACCTACAGCACCCCTTTCCTGGCCTCACAATGCTTTTTAGAATTTGTAATTATTCCCTTATCTGTGCAATATTATTTTGCTGAATTGTTTCCACTAGAAGATTCCTGGCCAGGGCTCTCACCCTCAGCACTGCTGACAATGGGGTGGGGTCCACCTCGGCGGGGGTGTCCTGGGCACTGTGGGGGTTCAGCAGCCTCCCTGCACCCCACCCCTGCACTCGTGCCAACTGTGAGTGCCATGAGGGCAGCTCGGCTCCTGGCGCAGGCGGGGCCTCAGCACATCTCCAGGTGAACATGTTCACACACAGCCCCACACCTGCCATCTCTCCAGCTCTGCCCACGGGACCCTGGACCTGCCCTGCACGGGGGGCTGCTGGGGGCTGAGGACACGGGTGGCGGCACTCACCTGGCGCGTGGCAGGCACGGACAGGTTGAGGCCGTCGGTGGAGATGCTCACAGCGATGCTCATGCCAGCGAAGCGCAGGTTGGTCTTGCCCAGGATGGAGGCTAGCGCCTTGTTCGGGGCCTGGGGACAGGGCAGAGGGCAGTGCTGGGCCTGCAGAGTGGGGAGCCCAGGCACTGGGAAAGGTGGGGCAGCAGAGGGGCTCCAGCTGGGGCAAGATCCAGGAAGGCCACGGCGCCCCCACCCCCGCTCCAACCACACCCACCAGGACCACAAGCCCGTCACCCACCTTCTTCTTCCAGGAGCCCCGGATGCCAGGCACTGCCTCATGGAGCCGGTTGATGGCTTCCCTGTGTGGGGGGTTGTAGGAGGAGGCTTAGTGAACTCAGAGGGGGGCTTGGGGAGGGGGTAGGAGCTCAGGGAGTGTGGGGGGCAGAAGCCATGGGCAGAGAAAGTACTTGGATCCTGAGCTGGGAAGGGGCTCACAGGAGGGAGGGAAGCGGGTACCTGGAGAGAGGAGGGAGGAACAGAGCCATGGACCGGGGGCTCTCAGCCCCCAACCCGTTTGTACCTGGCAGATACCCATGCACATACCGACCTCAGCTCTTGCCCTCTGGGGCTTCCTTCTCAGTGATCAACACATCCCTGGGCCACGGCCCAACTCCAAACCACAGGGGTGAGATTCAGGGGAGCCAACGACATAGGGCCTCAGCCTGGACCCCAAGTGTCATGCGGCCACAGGCCAGCCAAGATCCCCAGCTGTGGCATGAGAGCGTGACCTCTGCTCTGGGCTCGCCAGACTAAGAGACAGACCTCTGTGAAACCGCTAGCCCCGGGGAGGACTGGGACTTCACGGGCCCTGAAGGTCAGAGGGACCGTGCTGGGCCCCAAGTGGCCGGGGCCCTCACACCTTCGCGAAAAGGCGCGGCGGGAAAGGTCTTGCTGCTCAAACAGCGAGATGTGGAGACACCACACAGCCCGACACCCCACCTTCCATCCCAGGAGACATGAAAACACACGTGCACACAAAACCTGTGCACGCGTGTTCACAGCAGCACGAGTCACAACAATCACCAAAAGGTCGAAGCCACCCAAGTGTCCATTGACAGGTTGAACAGACAATGCGTCCACCGTGCAGGCAAAGGTCCACAGAGGAACGTGTCCATCGCGCACGCGCACATCACGCAGGTGTGTCCACCGCGCATGCGCACATCCACAGACAAACGTGACCACCGCGCACGCACGTGTCACTCAGGTACATCCACCGCGCACGCGCACGTCCACAGATGAACGTGTCCACCCCGCACGCGGACACCCCTCCACCGCGCACGCGCACATCACTCAGCCGGGAGCAGGCATGAGAGGCACCCGCACCCGCCGCCCCGCGGGCAGACCCTGGACACACGACGCTCAGGGAAGGAACCAGACACGAGAGGCCACAGGGGGTGTGAGTCCGCGTCTGGGAAACGTCCAGAACAGGCACACCTCTGTGAAGAAACCAAAACACATCGCGTTGTGGACTTTAAGTGCATGAATTGTTTGATGTGTGAATTACAACTCAGTAGAGTGTTTTTATGTCTACAGTGAATGGCCTGTTTTCACATGCAGAAAGACATCGATCCTGGGACGCCTGGGTGGCCGGGCTCAGGTCATGATCTCACAGGGGTCCATGCGTTCGAGCCCCGCGTGGGGCTCCGTGCTGACAGCTGGCAGCCCTGCCCCTCCCCCGCTCATGCTCTGTCTCTCTCTCTCTCTCTGTCTCTCTCTCTCTCTCTCTCTCTCTCTCTCTCAAAATAAATAAATAAATAAATAAATAAATAAATAAATAAAACATTAAAAAACAAAATGGACGTGGATCCCTAAGCCTCTTCATGACTCATTCCTGGCAGCTCAGAGCATCACGAGATCGATGTGCTTTGCACCAAAAAAAGCAGGGACAACGGAGGTGCCACCCAGAACCAGCTCCTAGCCCCTTCCAGGCCTGACCTGAGTCCTAGCCGGACACCAGCCAGCACCCGCGGGTCCAGCACGCCTGTGGACTTCGCACACGGCAAGGCGCCAGGTGTCATATCTATTAGAATCCGGGGTCTGGGGAGCAGAGACAACTGGACGGCAGGACAGAGCTGGAAGTCAGCTTATGACCCGCCACAAGGCCATTCTCAGTCCCGCCACACTGTTCTCCAAGCCGTGAGGCAGGAGGGAATGTCACTGCGCAGACTGTCTGAGCGGCTGCTGCCACCTCTCCAAAGCCTCACATCAGCCCTCCCTCCGCTGCCCCGAGGCCCTGGCCCCACAGCAGCCGGTCTCAAAGGCTCACCTGGTCACCTGGGTGCGAGTGTTAAAATCCAGAGAGCGCATGGAGCGGAGGACTTCGATGCAGCCCATGTACTAAGAGAAGAGAGAAGAAGCAATTAGCAGGCAGGCCCTAAGCACGAGCCCAGCAGAGCCTGGGTCAGGTGACAAGTGAATCCAAGCCCTCCCTGCAGCGAGCTCTTCACCCTCATCTCCAGCCCCGTCCTCAGCAATGTCCAGCTTTGCTGCCTCAGGGCCTTTGCACCTGCTGTGCCCCTGCTGCTCCCTTTCCCCATCTTCGTGTGCACTGGTTCCTTCCCCATCTCCAGGCTCAGTGTCACCTCCTCAGAGAGAACCCCCTTCCCTGATGCTAAGCAAGTTGTTCCACGGAAGCTGGTGGACCCCCAGGCTCAGTCTCGCTTTGGCTTAACCATCAGCTGCTTGTTCTCCCTTCCTGTTGCATTAGAGTGTGAGCCCAGGAAGACCAGGCTGGTGATGCTCCTGTCACTACTGTAGCCCCAGAACCCAGCACAGGGCCTGCAAGCAGACTGGGAGGAAACCATCTGGCCTGTGAAACCCAGCGCATTGACCGTCTGGCCCTTTACAGGGAAAGTTTGCTAACTCCTGCCTAGGCCACCATGTCCACGGAAAGGTAGTTCAGAACCTCCAAGAGACAATGCAGAGGGACAGAGGAGTTAGAAACAGTCAGCAGAGCTCCCAGGGAGGGGGAGCGGGGACCAGACTAGGGCCACAAGCCTCTTTCCAGCTAGTGCCTGTGTGCTGGGGGGCATCTGGCACAGCATCTTGAGGGCCACGTGGCAGCAGCACCTGTCCTGTGATTCCCTGTCTGTGCAACGTCCAGGCAAGTAAATCCACAGACACAGAGAGGGTTGGCAGGTGCCAGCAGTTAGGGGAGGGGAGGGGATGATGGCTAATGAGGACAGGTTTCTTCTAGGGTGACGGAATGTCCTGGAACCAGATAATGGTGATGGTTGCACCACCTTGCGAATGTACTGTTTAGTACTATTACACTTTGTACGCTTTAAAATGGTTAATGGTCGGGGTGCCTGGGTGGCTCAGTCAGTTAAGCGTCCGACTTCAGCTCAGGCCATGATCTCGCGGTTTGTGAGTTCGAGCCCCATGACGGGCTCTGTGCTGAAGGCTCAGAGTCCGGAGCCTGCTTCAGATGCTGTGTCTTCCTCTCTCTCTCTCTGCCCCTCCCCCACTTGTACTCTCCCTCTCAGAAATAAACATTAAAAATTGTTTTAATAAAATAAAATGTTAATTTTGTCAACTTTACCTCAATTTTTTAAAAATCATAGATGCCCATACATTTTGACCTTGAAACTCCATTTTTAGGACTTTAGCCCACACATACATCAGCCCAGGGACTGCCACTGTGTTCACAAGTCACTGTGTGGGGTGGCCCACGCTCCGCCCACTCCACGGGGCTCCAAGCTCAGGACTACAGGGAGACAGGTGGACAGGTGCTTGGTGCCCCCATGGATCCGCGCTTACCCACTCCCTTTGCCCTTGGGCCCCCCCTGGTGCTGGCACCAGGGGCTGGCTCCCTACACCTGGCCCTCTTCTGTGTCTCCTGCCTCAGTCTCCCCTCAGGGAGAGCTTTTGCACACGCACCCCCTTGCCGCTGGACCTGTAGAACTGAACAAATCAGCAAGAAATTAGAGACACCCTAAAACAACACATTTGGGCTTGTGCGACCCAATACATGACTGCAGGCCAACTGGAATTCCCACTAAACAATGAATATTTCTTAGTGTGAGTATGCCCCGAATAGTGCAGGGGACATACTTACGCCAAAAATTATTGGTATTCGTTGGAACTTTAAATTTAACTGGGGGCCCTGTATGCTTGCTAACTCTAAACAAATCGTTCTTGACATGGAAGAGTATGCATTTGTAAAAAGAGACAAGAATTGTTTACTTACAAGAAATTATCTCCAAGGTATATTATTAAACAGCAGGGACAAGGTGCAGAATAGAGGTCACAGTGAGCCACGATTCCCTCGGACAAGGGGTCAAGGGGGAAGATGTGCACACATGCGAGTATACACAGTGCGAGTAGATGAGTAATTCTAGCAGATTCTAGCATGGTAAAGTGGTTGTTTCCAGGGGAGAAACCGCATGCTGTTGGCAGACTGAAACTATGCTCACAAGCCGTCCCTCACCCCATTCCCTCCTCCCCTCCCCGTCCCTACCCACCCCCATCCCTCCCTCTATCCCTCCCCCTATCCAGGCCCTTGTATGTCAGGAAAGATGACACAGGTCACGAATGGCATGTCAGGAAAGGTGACGCAGCCAAGGCCTGAAAGGCCCTTGTGCCCTGGAGCTTGTCCCCTCACTAGTCCCAGGTCCCTGAGACCCTGCTAGGCCAGCCTGCTCTGTGAGAACAGACACGTCCCCATCCCTATCATCCCAGCTGACACTGGCCAGCTGCCATGGGAATGAAGAGATCGGCTCAAGCTGACCCACAAAACCACAAAAAAATAACGTTTGTTGTCCTGCACTAGACTTTGGGATGATTTGCTACACAGCGACTGCTACCTGAGGTAGTGACCAGAAGACAAGGGGCAAGGCGAGCAAAGACCCAGGCAAAGGGAATGGCCACTACAAGGCCCACGCGTGAGAACAAGTTTGAAGAGGCTGCAGGCTCACTCCAGTGTAGCTAGAGCAGAGCACAAAGAGCTAAGAAGGATAGCAGGATCTGGGCAAGAAGGCTGCAGAGCCCTGGGGCTATGCTGAAGGTCTGGGTTTCATGCTGGGCGAGCTGGGGAGGCATGGGAGACTTTTAAGTAGGGAAGTGAACAGATCTGTTTCACCTTCTCTTGGGTGGATGGATGGATGGATGGATGGTGGATGGATGCATGAAAGGGTGACGGATGGACAGATGGATGGATGAGTGAACAAATGGATAATGGATGGGTGGAAGGGAAGATGGCCGGCTGGCTGGCTGGCTGGCTGGCTGGCTGATGGATGGATGGATGAACAGGTAGACCGATGGACAGATGGACAGATGGACAGATGGATGGGCACGGCCTATATGCCAGGCATGTGTTACACACAGGGGACCTCAAAGGGAATTTGCTGTGGTTGCTGCTCCGAGGAGTGGATCTGCACACTGAGAGGACAGCTTTGGTGGGTTTCGGTGTTCTAGGCCCAGGTTCTGATTCCCATACCACCTAATTCCCTAGACTCACCTAATTCATGCCAGCCCTCCCCAGCTGTGAGGCTGAAGTCCTCCAGTGTGCCCCCGGCCCTTCCTTAGATGAAGGGAAGGGGGAGCTCACACAAGAGGGGATACAAAGGGGCTACCCTGGGACAGATCCCTACAGGGCCAGGCGGGCGAGGCCAGCAGAGAGGTGAGCCCCCCCACACTGATGGATCACAGCCCACTTATCACACAAGCATGCTGCACACATTACTTCTCTTAATGACAGCACTCACGTCCCCATGCTGGAATGACCACTGTTAGGTGGAACGGCCACTCTCAGGAAACAGAGGCCCAATGAGGCTCAGTAAAAGTCATAAGCTGGTAGGTGCAGATGCGGGGTTTGAACCCATGCCCTTAGGCTCTGGAGTCTCCCCACTGCACAACAGGAAGGAGTGGGGACTGGGCTAAACTGCATATTCCATAGCCAGAGGGCCCAGTGCTGCCAGACACCTGAGTCTTCTTTAAAGAGACCAGAAATCCAAGACTTTGGAGCCACAGCAGGCGCCAGGCTCTGAGCTGTGAGCACAGAGCCCGACGCGGGGCTCAAACTCACGGACCGGGAGATCGTGAGCTGAGCTGACGTCGGACACTTAACCGACTGAACCCCCAGGTGCCCCTTCCCACTGCCTTCTCCTTAAAAGTAAAAATTCAGGGGTGCCTGGGGGGCTAAGCCTCTGACTTCGGCCCAGGTCATGATCTTACAGGTCGTGAGTTCGAGGTCAGGGTCAGGCCCGTGCTCACAGCTCAGAGCCTGGAGCCTGCTTCAGATTCTGTGTCTCCCTCTCTCTCTGCCCCTGCCCCACTCGTCCTGTGTCCCCTTCTCTCAAAAAATAAATACACATTAAAACAAACATAAAGACAAGGCCGTGGGAGAAGATCCGAGGTCAAATTCAGCCTTGGGTCTGCCAGCGAGTGTGACCTCTGTCCTAGAAGCCCAAACTCACCGAACGTCAGCCGTGGTGTGTTGGAGGCTGGCCCCCTGAAGGTGGACACACGTGCTCACCCCCGGAGCCTGTGGATGGGATGGGCCCCAAATCCAAGACAAGTGTCCCAGTAAGACACAGGCAGAGGGAGGTGTGTGAGGCTGGAGGTGGAGTGTGGAGAATTCGAGAGGCCGGCACCTCCAGAATCCGGGAGAGCCGGGACAGGTGCTTCCCTCCGGGCCTCAGAAGCAACCAGCCTGCCCGGCTGGGTCTCAGACCCCGAGCCCCGGGACCAGGAGAGAACACTCTTGTGTTTTAAGCTGCCTCGTTTGTGCTAATGTGTTGCAGCCGCCCCAGGACACTAACACGGAAGGTCAGGACACCCCTGAATGGCCCTGCGTCCCACCTGCTCCTGTGCACGTGCAAAACCAGGGCAGCCCAGAGCCCACCCCAGGACGCTACAGGGAAGGGGTGATTTACCAGTGGGGGAACTGAGGCCCAGAAGGGGACGGGGCCAAGCTCCCACCGCCCTCATCTACCTCCTCAAGTCGTGCCACACGGCACATACTATTGTTCACTTAACATTTCATTTTAAATAAATTCCAATTATAAACATAACTGGGTTTATTTTTCAAGGAAATGGCAGGAAATGACTCAAATTTTCATCAATGGATGAACAAATCGATACGACGCGTCCCCCGAGCACACAAACGTCCCTCGGCCGCGAGCAGGAGTGAGGCGCCCGCCCCCGCCGCCCCGCGGACGGACCCGAACACGCGACGCTCAGGGAGGGAACCCGACAGGAGAGGCCACACGGGGTGTGAGTCCGCGTGTGTGAAACGTCCAGAACAGGCTCATCCACGGACGGGAGGGGGGCTCGTGGGGGCCGGGGGAGGGGAAGGGGAGTGAGGGTGAATGCTAATGGGGACAGGGCTTCCTTTC